TCAAGGTCAACCGTGTGCCCTTTCTGTGTTCTGGCCGTTGGGCGCCGTGGCCTCGCGGAGCAACGCGGAGCAGCCTGGGCCGCTTCCCGGCGACACGAATACTTCAGAGCATTTGAACTCATTTCGCCCTCCAGTGTTTTGTGTTATTTTTGTCACATGTTTTCACTCTAAAATTATTAAAAATCCTCGAAAACATTACAATTACCATTTTTTGCAGTCAATGTTTATTCAGAATTCCCTAATTACCTTTTTTTATTGCTACTTACTCCCTTCTGTATTACTTTTTTTTCTATCTGTTGCGATTTTTTTTTAACTCGAAGAATTTCCTTTAATATTTCTTGTAGTACAGGTCTGAGGGTGACATATTTCCCCAGCTTTTTAATCTGAAAATATCTTCAATATTGTTGTCCTTTTTGAAGGATATTTTTTACTGTTTATTAAATTCTATTAATAGATTGACAATTATTTTCATTTTGTACTTTAAATATGCCATTCTATTATTTTGTTGTGCCAATCATTTCTGTTGAAAAATCATCTGTACAGATATTATTGTTCCTTTTCGAGGTAATACGTCTTTTTCTTCTGGCTGCTTTTATGATTTTTCTCTTTGTATTTTGCTTCCAGCCATTTAATTATTGGCATTCAAAGGTGTAATCTTTGTGTTTATTCTGCCTGGGGTTCATAGAGCTTCTTGGATCCGTGGCTTGAGCTTCTATCAGTTTTAGAAAACTCTTACCCTTTATCTCTTCAAATGTGGTTTCTGTCTCATTCTCTCTTTTTTCTTTTTCGGAGAGACTCGGTGATACACAGTTTTTCCCTATACTGTGCCTTATACATCCTTGAAGCTTCTTTCTGTATTTTCCGTCCCTTTGTCTCTGTGTGTCAGTCTGTGCAGCGACACGCTCTGTAGTCAGCAGTCTCTGTCCGTCTGTGCCCAACTTGCTCTGGTCCCCGTGTATTGAATTCTTAATTTCAGTTATTCTGCTTTCAGTTTCAGAATTTCCGAATGATAATTATTATTAGATTCTAGTTCTTTATCAAAATTCTGATCTTCTGTTTTATTGAACATACTTACCCAGTTTTTTAAAAGTCTTTGCTAAGTGATGCAGTATCTGCATCACTTATTTGTGTCTTGTTCCTGTGTCTTGATATGCCCAATATTTTTTATTGAATTTTGGAAATTATATATAAAAACTTAGCGAGGCTCTGGAAGGTGTTTTCTTCCTCCAGAAAGGATTTACGTTTGCCTTTGGCAAACAATTAGGCAAGGAGCAGATCACTTTAGGCCCGTCTGGGAATGAGCTAATTTGATGCTGAATTTCAGTCCTTGTAAAAGCCCTGGCTGTTCCTGCCTCACTCGTACTTTTAGGATGTAGCCCTTCAAGGGTCCCAGTGTAAAGCCTGGGGTGTTTACTGGGCCTTTTCTCCTTGGCGGGCTCTGAAGTCCAATTTTTGTCTTCGCAGCCCCATGAAACAGTCAGAAGCCCTGCTTAGCTTCTTCGCGCCGCTTTCTTCTTGGCGCCTCCGTGTTTTATCCTGTGCCGAATTGGGCAAACGCCCCCAGAGGAAAGGTGGTGCTGAAGCTCAGGTTCAAGATTCCCTTCTCTCTAGAATCCCAGCCACGTAAGTGCTTCGGTAGCTCTCCAGTGCCTTCAGCAGATGGAAAATAAAATTTCTCCATCGTTTTAGTTGTTCTTAGCAGGAGAGTTGTTCTCATACAAACTAATCAGTCATAATTCGAAGCCAGAAATTTCATTTTTAAGAATTAACTTCCAACAAATCACAGTAGCCATACAGATTGCCCTGACCAGAGATATTTCTGATTTTTCGAAATCAGAATCCTTCTTACTCTCTAATTCCATAATTGCTACTAACGTAATTTCCCTGGTTGTGAGACAGTTGGGTCTGATGCAGTGTGGAGAATACACAGAGGTCTCTGGCTAGAAACACAGGGAGTGCCCTGTTCTCATCGGCTGCACATCTCTGCTCATCTCAAAGTTAAGTGCACCAGTGTCTTCTATCTATTCTTACATACTAATTAATAACACGACATTATGTTATAACCACTTATTTGCTTCTCCATCTCCTCTGCTAGGCTGGGAGCTGGAACTCTGCTGTATTTTCCTTTGTATTTTCAGTACCTACCACAGGGTCTGACATTTGTCGGGTATTCAGCAAATGCTTTTTGAATGTAGGCTTCTCCTAGATAAGGATATTTATATAGATGACTAATACACATTAAATTCTCATTAGTGGTAGTTTGAATTCAGAAAGGGTTTTTTGTTTTGTTTTTTCTGACCTTTCCCTACATTCTACCCTATTTAGGGTCTGTGGATTCCATACATCGAATATACTCGAGGGAATTTTTGTGTTCCCCAAGTATTGAGAGAGTAGAAGAGACTAACGACAAAATACAGGGAAGGAAGACATTGATGACATGGACATTTTAAAATGGCTTTCCGATTAGTGCTCACCCTTGCCAGCATCCCAGAAAAATTTCTGAAGTTTAGGGTTTAATAAAGTGTACGAGAGAACAAATAAGGAATGCCATGCTCTTGGAGTCATGACCCGTCTACCCCATGCTTCGATTGTGGGTCTAATGAACTTCCTTCTACACCGGTGCTTCCTTCGCTATTTACTGGCTTGAGGCACGCACGGAAACACTTCAAGTATGTTTTAATCAGGCACATGTTCTTTACCATATTATGAAAAGTTAAAATTGGAGTCATATTACATATTCTGTACAGATTAATACCTGGCAAACTTTGCTTTCATTCCAGATGTCTGGTCTCTGAATTCCATTAACTGTATAGTGAGTATATTTCTCTATTTGAAATTAAAGTTGGACTTATATATATTAAGGTTTTGGTTTACTGACAGATGTCTTATTCCCTTTCAGGTTCCTATCTGTCTTCATGCTTAGCATTTGATATTTCCAATAATGTGAATCAACAGAGCTGCCAGTAATAGTTACACGGACTTCCTTTTACTGGTATTTCGATGCCCTGAAAGCATACCATCCCATGTTTAAAGGATAGAAATCCGAAGAATTCTTATCTTTATTCCCTGACATTATCTAGCTCCAGTGTACTACTGGTCAGTCCTGCAAGTCTTTCCTACCTAACAGGCCCAAATCACAGCCCAATGCAATGTCATCTCCAAACTTTGCTTACTCCCAATTTTAGAAATAAAAAATGTTTTTCTGAGGCTCTGACTTCCAGTAATGGTGGAATGGTTTGGTCATCAACAGATAATAATGAGAAAATCTGGACAACGTGAAAGAACGGAAAACAAACAAAAACAAGGAAAAAACGAAAGAAAAGCCAACCCTGAAAAGCAAAAACAAAAAATTGGGAAGTTAAGGGGCCTTGCCCCAAAAAAATCCCCAAACCTGGGGCAAAGAACCAAACAAAAAGGGGCAAAAGAACGAAGTTAAACCCAAAAAAAAAAACAAAAAAATAAAAGAAAAAACCAACAAAAAAAAAAATTAGTAGACATGAAGAAACAGGAAAATATGATACTTAAGAGAAAAAAACAGACCCTGAGATGACACAAATGTCACAATTATTGGGTAATGACTATAAGCAGCTCTTATAAATATGTTCAAGGACTTAAAAGGAAGATATACACACAATAAATGAACATATGGGGAATTTCAGCTGAAAAACAGAGACTGTGAAAAAAAGACCAAATGGAAGTTCCAGAGCTGGAAAGTACAATAACTGGAATAGAAAATTTGCTGGATAAGCTTAGCAGCATATTGGAGAAAGCAGAAGAAAGAGTCGATGAACTGGAAGATAAATCAATAGAAATTGTCCAGTCTAAAGAACAGAAAGCAAAAATTAAAGAAAACACACATCTTAGGTAAAGGCAGGAAATAAAAGTAAAGCGGAATCCTGCCATTTGCAACAACATGGTTGGAACTGGAGAACTTTTCATCGAGTGAAATCAGCCAAGCACAGAAAGACAAATCTCGCATGTTCTCACGCATATGTGGGAGCTAAATATTAAAATGCCTGATCTTGTGGAGACAGAGTAGAATGACGGTTACCAGAGGCTGAGAAGGGTAGAGCCAGGGGAGGAGGTTCAAGTGGGGACCGTTAATGGGTGCAAAATTATAGTTAGGCAGCTAGGTAGAAGGAACAATGTTTGATAGCACAACAAAGTGACTGTAGTCAACAGCAAGTAAGGGTATACTTTAGAACAACTAAATGAGTGGAACTGGAATGTTTCTAGCACAAAGAAATGATAAGCGCTTGGGGTGATGGACACCCCAATTACCCTACTTTGATTACTACACATTATATGCCTGTATCAAAACGTCACATGTATCCTGTAAAGATACACAACTATTATGTACCCATAATAATTAAAAATAAAAACGTTGTAGAAGAGGAGCAGAATTGAAGTTAAATGTTCCATTCTAGCAATTCTGCAATTTAAAAAATTGAAAAATAAAAAACTTCTGGATTTTGAATGTCTAATCCTTGTGTTTCCTCCAAAAACAAGAGGGAACATGTCATCTGATTTCAAAGCAGTATGTTTTTGTTAACTTTCAAAAGGTCGTTTCTCTCACGTGGCCCTAAGTTTCTTAGCTTTCTGTCTCTTCGTCCTCTGCTGCCCTCTCATTCCTTCTCGTGGCTAATGGCCTTTTCCTCCTGGGGGGTGTCTTTGGGAGCCAGTTAGTGGTGGAATGGGACACGACTGCTCACGGAGGAACCGGACAAGGAAGCGCGTGGGGTGGTCGTCCTCGAAGGTTCCATTCCTACGCGGTCTGCCTTCGGGTGCATTCTCCTGTTGTCTTCCACTTTTACTGGAATTTTCAAGTTCTCGATATTTCAAATCATAGTGAATCATGTAGTTATTTTTAAAAATAACTTAAGAATTCTTTCTTAAGAGTCTGTGAACACAAAATACCAAATGATATCTCCCAAACAAAGCCTATTTTAATTTTTGATTCCTCTAGACACCATTCTGTTTCTTTTGGTTAAATTCTGCAGGTGTTTCACCAAAGCCAACGGTGCGTTCAGCGGCGGCCCCCTTCCTGCAGCCCCTGCGGCGGGACCTTATCTCCAGGGTGGCCTGGAAATGAAGCCCCTCAGCCACACGCGGGTGTCTGTGTGTCTGGCTCCCACAGTCCCTGATGGTGGCACTTTGCCTGAGGAGAGCGTCAAGGACCGGGTGGCACCAGTACCTGCTCGGCACGCCTGCTGTCGGGACAGCATAGACGACATCCACTCTGATTGCACAGAAGACGCAGCAGAGCTCGGCAGAGGTATGGGGGAGGCCGAACAAACCTCAAGCTTCTAGATAGGCTCCAGCTAACGAAGAGGTATCTAAGGGAGGGAGATGCTCTCAGAGGTTCCCCTCTGCGATTAGTTTACAAATTTCGTAAGAGACTGGAGTGCGGGTGGGGGCAGTATTGGATACTCCAAGAAAAGATGGGACTAGAAAACCAATTCTTCCAAATTCTATTATTACTCACATCCTTCATCTCAGGCTGTTAATCCCATTACATTTTGAAAAATATATCCAAACCGGCCCTGCTTCAGGCCGTGCCCGAACAGAAGGCGTGCTGGAAGAACACATTTCGTGAACATGACCCTCATTTTCTTTTACTTTCGTTCTGGAGTTGTAGCCTTTCTTACAGGTGGTTGTTTTGGGGCTTTTAAGGGGTTTGTTTTAATCCTCAGATGAATTGTATAACTATTCATGAGAGCTCAACTTTATTTTAATCCTTTTAAACACTCTCCCTTAAATTCAAACCAAACATAACTGGGCTCTACTTTTACTTAATATTTTTTCTTTATTGCTCTAAGTAGTATTAAACTGCTTTGTAAAAATCAGCCTTTATCATATTATAATGTTCTCAAATCTTTCTGTTTTTCAGGAGACAGCTGTGTCCATTTAGAAACAGAGAACAAAACTCTAAGTTGGAATCCTCTTACTTTGGTCCCTGTCTCGGAGGACTGTACTGAGAAGACAGCACGGCGTCCCCCGGGCCTTCCGTTAGACGGCTCACCGGGGGCCCCGCAGCAACCCCAGGAAACCTGACGTGCAAATGGCCAGTCATGTTTCCGTGTCCAGCCAGTAACTGCACGAGACAGCCCTGGGAATGAACTGTGTGAAGGACCTAATTCAAATCAGAGAAAATCATTATTTATTTTTTTTGTAGTAGTAATGTCATCTGAATGTATCTTAAAATGTTGCCCTTTTATATTATTTATGCCTTAAAAATTTTCTTCCCTGTTCCTTCCTCCCCCTCAGTAGGAAACAGCCTCGTATGGTTTGCAGCCATCTGGAGCACAGCGGAATTATTCCGTGCTTTCCACAAAGCTCGGTGACAGCGGGACCCTCATGCAGAGGGTCTCGTGTGTTGGAGGATCAGCCAAGAGGGGATCACAGGGGCTGTTTGAAGTTTGCTACCACACAGTTTTCAGATGGAAAACTGTCTTCCGATACTGTGTCATCAGACTTTCTGAGAACATTTTGAAATCAACCACAGTTGTGACCTAACGTCCATAGTAACAGATCTGGCTGGTGTTTTCCGAGTGCCTTTCACAACAGTGACAGTGACTTTCTATCCGTACGTGGGCACGAGCAGTGTTCCATCTTCTAGGCGCTGGTTATGAGCAGCGGCGCGGACACAGCTGCGTGAAAGGTCTGGTGCCTTATCGCAGCATGCGGAAAGGGACCCAGGCCAGAGAGAAAGCAACGCCTTAACGTCCATCACTTGAAAATTACACTGATTTATAAAATAGCCACCACGGGGCTCCTTTAGACTGTTACTGAGAGTAAAAACAAAGTAAGACTTTAAGTGGTGGCTTGAAGAGAAAGATATACATTTTAAGAGAAAAGGGAAGGGCTCCCGGCAGCCAGTCTTGCCGGAAGCTCGCCCGTCTGTCCCGGCGGCGTAGGGCCGTGCTCGTGGCGCCGCACTGCCCGAACGCAGCCGTCACCTCCCCCCGGTGTGGGCAACAGTCAGAAAGATGTGAGTGTCAGGAAAGACCTAATTGGGAAGCAAAGGTGTTTTTTTTTTTAACTTCTTGACTTTTTTTTCAGAATGTCACCATTGTAAACAGACCCCGACAACTTTGGTCAGCAGGGCGTATACGTCACTGCCGCCTCTGTGACAAGGACATTTGCAGCTGCTTTCGGAAGGCTGTTCTCCTCCATGTTAAAAACACAAACACACACACACAGTAAATGAATTTCGTAGCTCGAGCCAAGCTTTGATGGATCACTGCTTCTTTTTGGTCTGTACATCCCTTTGGGGAAAGAAACAGAAACTTAGTCTGTTTGTGTAGGTCAGGCAGTCACAGCATAAATGCAGACATTTTACAGTGTCCCAGAAATTGCAGCGGCATAGAATAGAACACTACGTTAATCCATTTTCTGTATAAATGCATCAGTATTCCTTTACATATGTCTATGTTTTATAATAGAGCTGCTGGTGAGAAGGTGCTTGTTTAAGCTGGGTCCCCATGCAAGAGTTAGAACGTAGCGGATACAGTTTCATAGTTAGATACTAGGGTGCTGTAGAGCTCTACAAGTTCCACATTTCAGATGTCCGCACCTGTTGTGTGCTGGATTTACTCTTCATGTTGCTTAGACGCAGTTAGCTTTGGAGCGGGATAGCTGCGCCCCTCCTTTCTGCGACCAGCAAGGGACGAAGTCCTAGTACCCAGAATATGAAACACACTGTGTCTGCCAGTCGGGTGGCAGTGGGGCTGTCGCAGAGGGAGCTGCAGAAACCTGGGAGGTCATGTCCGCAGACAGCCATTCCGATTCAGGAAACAGGTGTGTTAGCACGAGCCGTAGGTCATAAACTGCTTTTAAAGATTGAGTTTGAATATGGGGTTTGTCTATGAGGAAGAGAAAATGGCTTTACCTTTAGGACAATCTCATTGTGGACTTCTTTATTTATATTATTAGTAACGCTGTTTTAAGTGTTATCCTTTTTATTGTAT